TCATGAAGCGTTAAATTTCGCTCTTGTTTACTGATTCTTTACCATTCATTTTTACCAATAACGCAGGTCTCGAATAGCCCTTGTTTTCCAGCTTCTCACAATGAAACTATGTGATGATAATATAAACTAATCAATTCATTGAAGATTCATTCATGAGAGAAAGTCAAGCTTAATGTCATGTTTTCTATATTGTATGTCATAGAGCTCAGGACATTATTTATTGAACAGCCCTCGTATACATGTGTATTGCCTGTTTAGTGTGAACAAGTTATTTCCTAGGCAAATAATGTCAAATTCAGTGAGAACTTTGCAAGTTTTGTAAAATTTAACAAAGTATACTTTAAATTAATTTTTTCACGCTATATGGACAGTCTTCACGTCTGACTTGATTATCCATCTTCTTTGTTGCCCGAGGGTATTTATGGGTCAATTGCGGAAAGGGGGGAGGGAGTATAAATTATACTTTGAAAGTGCAATATCTCTTTGAAAACCTTCTCTGTACTTGGGTTTTAAACAAACAAAGTGCATAGTTATGATGAACAAGGGTATCCCTTACCAAAATTGAGAAAATTATGACCCATGGTGCTAACTTAGTAAGAGAAGACTTTATTGATAATTTCGTGAAAATATTAAGATAGACTAAGTGAATGGTATAATGGGCAAGGATGATTCTCCCAGCATGCGAAATTTGTACCCCAAAGTTTGGAATCACGAAAGGGGTTGACTGTTGAATATATAACGAAATGTTTTTTCTTCTCAACATATTTTACAGATAAACCATTTGCATTATCCGGATGAGCAAGGATAAAATTCATAAACCGTGCATGGGTTAGTTGTTTGGATGTTGGTGCTCGGCTCTTTGAAATACCATTTACTTTGTTCGTGATCTTCGAATTTTGTCATTAATAGCGATCATTTTGCTAGTGTTTAAATGGATGTCGCTCATTATTCAATCACAAATAATGCATTAGGAAAGATACATTATGGTTTTTCCATCAAGTTCTAAATATCAAGTACGCTGAGAACAATAGGCCATTTTTAAAAAAATAAAAACAAAAAAGTAACCAGACTTAAGGTATAAAGCAACAATGCATTATATCTTTCAATGTCTTCTCTGTCCCTGGGAATAAGGGAAACAACTAGTGCATGGCTGTGATGAGAAAGGGTGCCTCTTCTAAAATTTTTGAATTCTTGGCCCAAGGATCAGCGGCTTTGATGGTGGGTGCAACTTTGTTGATTCTGTTGTATAATGTATTGATCATCAATTCTTTAAATCTTTTCTGTTTAAGGGAAATAAACGGGCAAACAGCGTAATAAGCAACCGTGTCCATAACTGGATTTCTGAAATGCTGCACGACTCTGTCAATGTATCAATCATATCAATACGTACTGAAAGAAGTATCTCCCCTTTGCTATTCCCATTTGATAATTGCACATTGTAAAAATTGTGACGGTGAGGTCATTTCAAAAAGTACTTTTATGGTTTTAAATGATTAGGTAGACTTGTAAACAAGAGGCCCATGGGCCACATTGCTCACCTGAATAACTTGGGTGATGCAGTTATTTACAAGATTCCCCCTCTTGCTATACTTATCATGCCCCACTACCCCCCTTCCCTTTTATGATTTTAAAACTTTAGAATCTACACTACCCCAGGATGCTTCCACATAAGTTTCAGCTTTCCTGAACCAGTGGTTCTTGAGAAGAAGATTTTTAAAGATTTGTTCTATATATTTCTATGTAAAACTTGGATTCCCTATTGTGGTCCGGTCCTACCCCCGGGGGTCATGATTTAAACAATTTAATATCTACACTACCCAAGGACACTTCCACGTAAGTTTCAGCTTTACTGGCCCAGTTGTTCTTGAGAAGAAGATTTTTAAAGATTTGTTCTATATATTTCTATGTAAAACTGAGATTCCCTATTGTGGCCCCGCCCTACCCCCAGGGGTCATTATTTTAACAATTTAATATCTACACTACCCAAGGAGGCTTCCACATAAGTTTCAGCTTTACTGACCCAGTGATTCTTGAGAAGAAGATTTTTAAAGATTTGTTCTATATATTTCTATGTAAAACTTGGATTCCCTATTGTGGCCCCGCCCTACCCCCGGGGGTCATGATTTTAATAATTCAATATCTACTCTACCCAAGGAGGCTTCCACATAAGTTTCAGCTGTACTGGCCCAGTTGTTCTTGAGAAGAAGATTTTTAAAGATTTGTTCTATATATTTCTATGTAAAACTGAGATTCCCTATTGTGGCCCCGCCCTACCCCCGGGGGTCATGATTTTAACAATTTAATATCTACACTACCCAAGGATGCTTCCACGTAAGTTTCAACTTTCCTGGCCCGTTGGTTCTTGAGAAGAAGATTTTTAAAGATTTGTTCTATATATTTCTATGTAAAACTGAGATTCCCTATTGTGGCCCCGCCCTACCCCCAGGGGTCATGATTTTAACAATTTAATATCTACACTACCCAAGGAGGCTTTCACATA